CGGGAGGGCGAGGCTGCAAGCGGTCAGTGCGACGGGAGGGCGACGCTGCGAGCGGGCAGCGCGGCGGACGGGCCGGGAAGCGGGCAGCGCGGCGGGCAGGCGGCGCTGCAAGCGGGCAGCACGGCGGGCGGGCGACGCTGCGAGGCGGGCGGGCCGCAAAGCGGGCAGCGGGCGGGCGGGCGGGCTGCGAAGCGGGCAGCGGGGCGAGCGGGCTGCGATGCGGGCGGGCCGCGAAGTGGGCAGCGAGCGGGCGGGCGGGCTGCGAAGTGGGCGGGCCGCGAAGCGGGCAGCGGGGCGAGCGGGCTGCGAGGCGGGCGGGCCGCGAAGCGGGCAGCGAGCGGGCGGGCGGGCTGCGAAGTGGCGGGCCGCGAAGCGGGCAGCGAGCGAGCGGGCTGCGAAGCGGGCGGGCCGCGAAGCGGGCAGCGAGCGAGCGGGCTGCGGAGCGGACGGGCCGCGAAGCGGGCAGCGAGCGGGCGGGCGGGCTGCGTAGTGAGCGGGCCGCGAAGCGGGCAGCGAGCGGGCGGGCGGGCTGCGAGCGGGCGGCTCGGCGAGGGGCGCGCGAGGGCGCTAGTGAGGGGCGCGCGAGGGCGCTAGTGAGGGGCGCGCGAGGGCGCTAGCAAGGGGCGCGCGAGGGCGCTAACAAAGGGGCGCGCGAGGGCGCTAACGAAGGGGCGCGCGAGGGCGCTAACGTGGGTGCGCGCGAGGGCGCTAACGAGGGTGCGCGCGAGGGCGCTAACGAGGGCGCACGAGGGCGCTACGAGGCTAGGGCACGGGGTAGCGTGGTAACCGCATGCGAGCGGTGGTGGGCCCTAAAAAAAAACGATCGGTAGGTCCTAGGGACCTCCTGCTCTGAATACCATGTCAGAATCACTAGGCAAGAATGATGAACTAGCAGAAGTTTGGGTACAAATGTGAAACCCTAGTTGGGGTTGTACCCCATATTGGCTACCCCACTACAGCCTACAAGCATACTACAGTTTAACACGCTCTTCATTCGCGAGCGCCGATTACCGATGATGCTTGCAACCTACCCATGCCCTTGCTGGCTTTGCAACAGTCTAGACAAGCACAGCCACGTGACTTGGTGGAAGAAAAACGCTCACGATCGCATCCTGCCCCAGAACGCGGAAGGATTCGCACGTGTGCAGGAAGCTGCGGGCGCTTTTCATTCATGCGCGCCGATGACCAATGATGCTCGCAACCCTCCCACGCCCTTTCTGGCTTGGCCATAGGCCCAGGAAAGCGCAGCCACATGACCCGGCGGAAGAAAATTTCTCAGAACGAGTGCTCCTAGCCTCAAGACGCGGAAGGATCCACACATGTGCAGGAAAGTTCATCTAGCAAGGAGTAGCGAGATCTAGTAAACAGGGCACGAGAGAAGCAAGTGGGTGCGAGAGGAGCGGGTGAGCTGCGGGGAGGGGCGGGAGAGGCAGGTTGGAGGGGAGGGGCGGGAGAAGCGGGTAGGCTAGAAGACGCGTGCTTGGGGAAGAAACAAGGTGGGCTGGGCTGAGAAAGAGGTGGTCTGGGGAGGGGAAATATGCGACCAGTAGGGGCGAGATGTTGAGGTGGTAGGGGGGCGGCATGAGAGAATCGCGTGGGCCAGGTTGGTTGGGGTGATAGGCTGAGGTAACGGGCACATTTGAGGATTTAGTAAGACCTACAAGATCAACGTACACTCACCAAAAATAAAATGGCTGAAAAAAACATTTAAAGTACATAAGAAAAAAACTTCGGATTTAGCCAATTGTTCTTAAAAAGCCAGATTTTACGCTGAATCATTGAAAAAAGGCTGATATCTAGGGCCCTGGTACTGACTGTATTTTTACAGAGAAAATGATGTGTTGGTCAGTTCGGTCAGTATCAGCCCCCTAGATATCAGCCTTTTTACGCTAATAAAATCCGACTTCTTTTTATCTAGCCTGGCTGATTCGGCAGCCTTTTGGCTGATTATTCAGCCTTTTAGTTTGTACCTACTGTGTTCTTTCAGACATTTTGTGTGAGTGTACTCTAATCTGTCGAAATAGCCTAGACAAAGACAGGAATCATAGGAACCATGGCTGGAAGGTTAGGCACAGAAGAGGTTTGACTAAAGGTCCAAAGGCCCAAGTTATACAAGAAACAATGCAAGAAGTGGTGCACCACAAAGAAGGCTAGATAACTACAATACAAACCGCAAACAAGTAAATAAAATATGACGAACATATTTTGACACGCCCCCATAATTGTTTGCAGGTATAAGGGCGTGTTCTTACGACCTCATATCAGGCCACCTCGTATCAAGAATGTACTTTTTGCCTAGTAAAACTAGCGAGAGGTTTTGGGTTTAGGGGAATTTTATGTGTGAGCCTGATACGAGGTTCTCTTGATACGAGGTGTAGGAACATGCTCTACGTGTAGTAACTGTTGAAATATATTTCTTATATAAACTGCTTGTAGCAGTAGTTAGTGTAGTGTTACATTGGTGGTGCACCTTGCTTGCTTTGCCTATAACCTTGTACCTTCTCTCCTTATTGAACACCTTTTCTCCCTTCGAACTCTCTCGACATCCCTCTTCAACCCTAAACCTAAGCTACTAAGTCACTCTAGCCATGGCTTCTTAGCCCAACTAGCTTAGTATCTTAACATGGTTTCAGAGCATTTATGCTCCTGGCCTGTGGGCCCGCCTACTGCTTCCGGTTTTCTGCCCGCCGTGCGCCCCGAGGCGCGCGGCGGTTTCGTCGCCCGTCGCGGCGCCCTCTCCCGTCCCCGTCGCGGCGCCCTGGGGAGCCGCGCGCGGCCCCCCCACTGCCCTGTCGCGGCGCTCTGGGGAGCCACGCGCGGCCCCCGTTTCCCCGTCGCGGCGCCCAGATAATAATTCAGAATTATCCACATGATTGAAGAGACAAGTCTCCTTTAGTTTACAGAATTACCGAACAATGGTTTATTCAAATAGAAAAAATTAAAGATCAATTGCCCGTTTCCCCGTCGCGACGCCCTGGGGAGCCGCGCGCGGCCCCCCCACTGCCCTGTCGCGGCGCCCTGGGGAGCCGCGCGCGGCCCCCCGCTGACTCGTCGCGGCGCCCAGCGGAGCCGCGCGCCGCCCCCGGGGACGCGCGCGCCCGTCCCCCTGGACCCGCGCGCCCCTCCTCTGGACCCGCGTGCCGCCCTCAGGGACCTCCGCGCTCGCCCCTGACGACCTACGCGTCGCCCCCGCTGCTTCCCGCGCTCCTACCTGCGTTAGGGTTTGGGGGTGGCGGGCATGGGGGTGACCTGCAGCTCCTCCTCCTCCTCCGTCTCCCACTGCTGCAGCTACCGCTGAGGGGGGTGGATGTGTGGGAGCAGGGGGTTTAGGGTTTAAGGAGGGTGCCGTGGGAGTGGAGCTTGGGGTATAGCAAGGGGTGTGTGAAAGGGGGGTGGGACAGTTGGGGGAGGTTGAGCGGAGGCTGCCGTCTTGTCGTCCGCAGCACCTGTAGTCCGGGGCGCTGTCCTGGTAGCCCAGAGAGCCTGCTGCGCCTGTCGCCCGTGGGTCCGTTGCTCCTGCCGCTCGTCTTAGCCGCGGAGCCTGTTACTCCAGTAGTCCGGGGCGCTGTCCCGGTAGCCACTGTGCCAGCCGCTCCTGTTGCCCGTGTGTCTGCAGCTTCAGCCGTCGCCTCCCATCGCCTCTCCTCTCACAGTTCCTCCTCCTCATCACGTCGCCTCCTCATCCTCAGAAGGAGAGGTCCTTCTGCTGTGCTTGGTCTACCCCTTCAGGGAGTGTCTCTGCATTGGCTTCCTGCTACAAGCAGTTTAGGGGGTGTGTTGAAATATATTTCTTATATAAACTGCTTGTAGCAGTAGTTAGTGTAGTGTTACATTATTTGGTGATGCACCTTGCTTGCTTTGCCTATAACCTTGTACCTTCTCTCCTTATTGAACACCTTTTCTCCCTTTGAACTCTCTCGACATCCCTCTTCAACCCTAAACCTAAGCTACTAAGTCACTCTAGCCATGGCTTCTAAGCCCAACTAGCTTAGTATCTTAAAAGTAACGCCCCCTTACGGGGTACACCATGCGGAGTGCAGCGGAAGTAGCAGAGGGCAAATGAGGAGGAGGCGGCTGAACGCACACCACCCCCTTAACCTCCCCCCACAGCAACAGCAGCAGCAGTGAGGAGAGAGGGGAGGTGGCGTGGCGGCAGTTGCTGCAGCTGAGTCACCCTCCTCCCCCTACCCTCCCCCCCCCCCCCAACTGCTGCACGCGCAGCAGGGAGAGGGAGGAGGTTGGCGCTGTAGTTGCGGCCTCCCCTTCACATCCCCCCCCCTGCCCAACTGCTGCACGCGCAGCAGAGAGAGGGAGGGGGGGGGGGGGGGGGGGCAGGGTAGGGGCTGCGCCGCGGCTGCAGATATGCGTGCAGAGGAGAGAAGCCTCGCGCACCGCAGTCGCCACGCACCGCAGCAGGGCGCGCGGGCCGCGCAGGACAGCAGGGCGCGCGGGGCGCATGGCTGGCAGAAACCTACGCACGCTCCAGGCCCACGACGGGCAGAAACCAGCGAGCGCCCGGGGCGCGCTCACTTCCAAACATCGTTGACCCCCAAACCTAAAAATCCTTGCGTCGACTCGATTTTGGAGTTCAGGGTTGAAATGACAGTCAAATGCGAGAATTCTATAAAAGTTTTCTAGGGTCGTGAGCGGCTCTACTTGTTTGAAGGTACTTGCATCTTGGCTTGAGTCTTGAAGTTAGGCCCAACTTAATTGTATCTGCTAACTAGATTGCTTTGATGTAGGATGCTCATCCTAAATTTCTTGTTTGCATGTGAGAAGCAAATAGGTGGCGAATATCGAGGATGCGTTTTAGAAAGTTCGAGAGATGGGTTCTTCTGAAGGCGCGCCTCCATCTGGGTTCTTCCAGTTTCTGCTCGTTTGGTTTTGCCAATCGGAGCTTTATCCATAACTCCATCTAGCTACAGCCTCCACTTCATTTCTGCGTTTTCTGCCAACACTGGTCATCACGAACGTAATTAGTCGAGGGGTAAGGTGAAAGCATGGCTGACGAAGCGAAGGCGAGAGGCAACGCCGCGTTTTCGGCGGGGAGGTTTGAGGAAGCCGTGGATCACTTCACGGACGCCATCAAGCTCGCGCCCGACAACCACGTGCTCTACAGGTGCGTCCTTCCCGCCCCCCCCCCCTTCTTCGCTACTCACGCGCTCACCTCACCTGCCAGCGCCGCATCTCGCGGTATCTTGTTCGTGTTCGTGTGATCTGCGAAGCGACCGCGCGCATAGCAACGTTCACGGTCGTCGTTGGTTCTGCCAGTCGTCCTCGGTAGCTGCCGGACCCTCAGCGTCAACCCCGTCAGTCATCTTCTCTGCCTTCTCCCCGCTGCTCACGTCACCTGTCTCGCCTCTCGTCGCCCCCTTGCTCGCAGCAACCGGTCGGCGGCGTACGCGAGTCTGCACCGCTACGGCGACGCGCTGGCGGACGCGGAGCGCACGGTGGAGCTGCGCCCCGACTGGCCCAAGGGCTACAGCCGCCTGGGCGCCGCGCTGCACGGGCTGCGCCAGTACGCGCGCGCCGTGGAGGCGTTCGAGCGCGGGCTGGCGCTGGAGCCCAGCAGCGCCGTGCTGCAGGCGGGGCTGGCGGACGCCAAGGCCGCGCAGGCCGCCGACGAGGCGGGCGGAGAGGGGGGAAATCCGCTTGCGAAGGCGTTTCAGGTGAGTGCAAAGGAGAATTGGAAGAGGAAGGCGGGCGGGGATGCTCGCGCACCATAGCTGACTCTCCCGCTCACCCCCCCTTGCCCGCAGGGTCCCGACTTCTGGGCGCGGCTGCACGCGGACCCGCGCGCGCGGCAGCACCTGAGCGACCCCGCGTTCCGCGCTACGGTGAGCGCCGTGCAGAGCAACCCCGCTCTGCTGAACGCGCACCTGAGCGACCCGCGCATGATGGACGTGCTGGGCGCCGCGCTGGGCATCAGCATCCGCTCCGCCGCATCCGCGGACGACGCCGCCGCGTTCGCCGCCGAGGGCAGGGGGGAGGAGGGCGGCAAGGGGGAGAGCAGAGCGGGGAACGATGAGAAGGAGAAGGAGAAGGAAGCGGGAGGTGCGGAGGCGATGGAGGAGGCGCTGACAGACGAGGAGAGGGAGGCGAAGGCGAGGAGGCAGGAGGCGGTGAGGGAGAAGGAGGCGGGCAACGCGGCGTACAAGCGCAAGGAGTTTGAGAGCGCCGTGGAGCACTACAGTAAGGCCATCGAGCTGGACGACTCTGACGTCACCTTCCTCACCAACCGCGCCGCCGTGTTCCTTGAAATGGGCAAGGTGAGGCGCCGCTGCCACGGGGAATGTGGAGGTGAAGGAGTGTGGGAGAGTCTGCTTTTCTCTCTTCATGTTCTTTCAAATTAAACATTGCATGCTGCGCTGCTCCCTCCTCACTCCCGCGCTCCTCCCTTGCTCCAGTACGCAGAGTGCATAGCAGACTGTGACAGGGCGGTGGAGCGGGGTCGAGAGGTGCATGCGGACTTCAAGGTGGTGGCGAGGGCGCTCACTCGCAAGGGGACAGCGCTGGTGAAGCAGGCCAAGACAGCCCAGGACTACGAGCCTGCCATTGCTGCCTTTAATAAGGTCACATCTGGCCCCCCATCCCCCTCACCCTTGTGTCGCACCATCTGATTCCGTTGCTTCCTGCGTGTGCAACCATTAGCTCCTCTTGCCGGGCATTAATGCGCCATCACCATCCATTGGTCGTCTACCTAAATAGATGCATCTGTCTTTTCTTATGGGGGCAGGCCCTTACGGAGCATCGCAATCCCGACACACTGAAGAAGCTCAATGAGGCAGAGAAGGCAAGGAAGGAGCTGGAACAGCAGGAGTACTACGATCCAGTCATCGCCGACCAGGAAAGAGAGAAGGGTACTACCTCTTCTGCTGCTTTTTTCAATATACAAAGAAATTCTTGTCAAGGACAGGTGTTGGTGGTGCATGCGTGTTTGATGTCCTCATTTCTCTTCATTCCCCTCACCTCTCTTCATGTTCCTCAGTGTACTTCGGGCTCCTCACTGCTCTGCATGTTCCTCCTGGTTGATTGAACCTGAGCTTTTCCGTACCACCCTTCCCTGGTCCAGGCAACGAGGAGTTCAAGCTGCAGAAGTTCCCTGAGGCAGTTAAACACTACAATGAGGCCATTAAGAGGAATCCTAAAGACGTCAAGGTGTGCCTTCATATGCTGTCACCTTACTTTTGTTTTGTGCCTTGTCCCGTTCCTCCTTTCTACCTACCGTATCTGATGGCATTCTGACTTTCCTATTTCCCTGTCCCTCCCTGCACTTCGATGTTGACACACCTTTGCTGAACCGCCTTTGCCATTCCACCATCAGTCTTACAGCAACCGAGCAGCGTGCTACATCAAGTTGGGCGCCATGCCGGAGGCAAAGAAGGATGCGGAGAAGTGCATTGCATTGGACGAGTCGTTTGTGAAGGGGTACTTGAGGAAGGGCGCAGCAGAGTATTTCATGAAGGAGTATGACCACGCCATGGAGACCTACCAGCAGGGCCTCAAGGTGGAACCGGGAAACCAGGAGCTGTTGGATGGCATTAGGAGGTGAGCCACTGAGTTTGTAATTCAATAGGCCGGTTCTTTGGGGTCGAAATCCGTTTCTGATCCTATTTGTTCCTCGGTTTTTGTCCTCATCAGCTGCGTGCAGCAGATCAGCAAGGCCAACAGGGGGGACATTGCGCCAGAGGAGCTTAAAGAGAGGCAGGCGAAAGCGATGCAGGACCCTGAGATCCAGTCCATTCTCACGGACCCAGTCATGCGCCAGGTGCTCACAGACTTCCAGGAAAACCCTCAGGCAGCCATGCAGCACCAAAAGAACCCCATGGTCATGGCCAAAATCCAAAAGCTGGTTGCAGCAGGGATTGTGCAAGTGCGCTGACTGTAGTTTGTAGAAAACAATGGTGCGCTTATGGGAAGCGTTATGTTAGACAGGTGTGCTCTTCCATCTTTGCAAGCAATTATGAATGAAGTTCGCATTGTGATGCACATGTCAATGTTATGCTCACTCTGCTTGCAGCTTGGTGATGTGTGCTTGTCTGCACAATAGACAAGTCCTGGCCTCTCGATATCAGGGTGATTCACCCTTATGACCCTTACTATAAGGGCGGGTTTTACGATGCACCCTTTTTTACAAGACTGGTTTTGTTTTCGACCCTTACCAAAAAAAGTGATCGATTGTATGACACTGATATTTCAGAGCTATGTGGTGTAGTAGCACTGATGAAATCGAGTTCGATCTAAGAGAGGATACTAGGTTTGGTCGCGTAAAACACATTTTCTACGTCAGATAAAAACGACAGGTATCGAACTTGGGTCCTCCACATAACAACGATGACTCAACACACTGCAACACTAACACCCTACATAGTATGCTCAGCAAAACTATCTAACAGTTGTTTTAATTTGTTTGCACCCTGATTTTTAAGAGCAGTTCCTGTGAAGCACCCTTACTGAAAGAGTAACAGCTGGGTGTTGGCCTTACGAGGAAGAGTACCCCAAATCCTATCCAGAGGCCTGGACAAGTCTATGGAAGAATTGTACATTTAACTCCTACAAGACAATCAGTCTGATTAGAAAATATGGGGTCAGCATAACCCATCTACTTGTGAGCGTCTTGTCGCAGCTGCTCCAATCTACTGCTCCACTCGACACTATCGTTCTCAGGAACAATCCCACTATGCATGTCCACACGTGGCCACTCTGTGGTAGGACTAATCGCAGCATTTGCTTGCTTCAGCATATCCAGCCGGTGGCTCCACTCAACCTCTCCGGGAACTTCGGGCTCATCGCTCATACTTAGGCTTGAGGAACCATGCTGTATGCAAGGGCTTGCAAGGGCTTGAAATGTTGTCGAGATTGTAGAGTCCGCTCCACCACTCAACGGCTCAGAAAATGAATCTGGCAAACTGCTGCTGACAGCTATTTCAACAGCGCCTCCAGAAACGACTGATGCAGTATCTGTTCCACATATCATTTGTGGGACATGTTCATCTTTCCTTGCATCTTGGAGTAGTTTGGCAACCTGCATGAAGGTTTCAAATGAAAATATACACATCCGCCAGCCCTGCTAAACTTAATAGTTAAGCATACCTTATCCATAGTTGGTCGTTTCTTTGCAATGTGATTGACGCAGTCCAATGCAACACGCCACATACACAGAGCCTCATCAATGTTGTACACGTTGTTCAGTCGTGGATCCAGAATCGCATTTATGGACTCTGAACCAATTGTCTGTTGCCAGGCCTACAAGTGAAAGAAAAACACATCAGATGATGGTAAGAAAATGATAGGGTTAGCAGAACTTGCAATAAAGTTAAAATCTACGCCCCAAATGGGACCGCGTGAGTCATGTCAACCAAGTTGAATCCAATGAAAGCTTCAGACTGTGCGCCAGCATTCTGGGAAACATACCCATTCTACAAGACTTTGGCCTTGAAACGTCGAAGCTGTGACATCAACAGGCTGTCTCCCTGTAAGGAGCTCCAGCAGTAGAACACCAAAACTGCGTGGCATAGAGCAGTTTAGAATATGACCTGCAGATATCACAAAAATCGGGCAGTTGAGTGTTACCTGTAAACATCACTCTTTTCCGTCAATTGCCCTGAGAATGCATAGTCCGGGGCCAAGTAGCCGATGGTGCCCATGACTCTCGTAGTTACATGCTCAGAATCATCTTGCAACAAGCGTGCAAGGCCAAAGTCACCAACCTGCATGATCGGAAACAATGTCACAAGTTGGAACAAGGAATTTCAGTGAATGCGAACTGTCCTTCCAGACCTGAGCATTCATGTTCGCATCAAGAAGAATATTAGAAGCTTTGATGTCACGATGCACCACTTTTGGATAGCAGTCATGGTGAAGATATGCCTGAAAAACACAGCATGACAAAGAAACGTCGCAATCAGCTAAAGATTGCTCTCATGACAAAAAAAAGGGTTTCGAGCTGTCCTCCATCAGCGAATGCCTGTAATTTTTGGGGAACCTACCAAACCCTTCGCTGCATCAATTGCCATCTGAAGCCTTCTTTCCCAGCCAATGGGTGTGCAAGTATTGCCTGTAAGAACTCTAGTCAGTGTAAACGTAATGCATGACAATGACACACCACTTACTGACCATGCAGGTGGTGGTCGAGTGATCCATTAGCCATGAACTCAAAGACAATAAGTTCTTCTGTCTCCCCAATGTGGTACCCCAGTATCCGCACAAGATTCCGGTGATGAACTCTGCTGAGAATCTCAACCTGAAACCATCACAATGTTAAGCATGCCATTGGATGAAAAAGACAAGTTTTATTTGCTCTTCGTTGATGCGACAAGACACACCTCTGACTTGAACTCGTCTCTTCCGTGCAGCAGTTTATGCCTGTGAATTCTCTTGACAGCAACAGTCTGACCACCTGCCAGTACTCCTTTGTATACTTCACCGAAGCCACCCCGACCGAGAAGATTCTTAACAGAGAAATTTAATGTTGCCTGCTGGAGCTCCTCCAAACTAAAATCGGTTCCCTTTGACTTCATTTTCTGCTGTGATGGATCTGAGGATGCCCTGTGCCCTGCTGCCGCATGCACAAAGCCAGCGGTCGTTGAAGCTTCTGCATTTGGGGTTAGGTTAGATGATATAGGAGAGCCTGAAACTGAGCCAGTAACGCCAATTGCTGGCTGATCCCTTGATGACACAAGCTGGTCCATAGGCTGCTTCGCATGCTGCAATACCGATTCTCCCTGCCGGGTATCCAGGTTTCCTGTTGAAGCTTACACGCATAAGCTACACGACCCGTCACAAAACCAAATACGTATCAAATCCAGAATGAAATTCCCCATACCTGATACTGGAGCAGTCTTAATGTACCGCAGGTGCCGATGCCTCAAATAGTGGAATAAGGAAGACGACAGAAATGCAAGGCCGCTGATTACAGCAGCGGCCATCCACAATCCTTCAGTTGTGTTGTACAACCCCCAGGTTTCTGATGTTTTTGACGATCCGTAGATGAGCAAAGCCTCTGCAACTGCACTGCTTATCCTGCATCGAGAAATGGTGATGTTACGCTAGGGTATCCTTTCACACAGTTGAAATGCTATACAGGTCACGAACCATGATGTCGCACAACAAGCATGGAGGAACACGCGATATCGTTTTGAGTAGGATAAGGATTTCTTCTTCGGCTTGATCATGTCCAGCAGTTGAGTTATGACCTGCAATGTTGTACTTCCATAAGGAACATAGAGAAAACACAGGCGGTCCAGGGGTCCCAAAACGACTCTGCTTACCTCTAACACGAGTGTTATAGTGATTAAAGACATCGACGCCCAGGAAAGGGACATGCTGCTCTTGTCAAAAGGGAAGTTCTCAGAAAGGTAAGCGCGATTGTAATAAGGGTCATATCCTTCACCCTTTAATCCTTGAGTAACATTGCAACGAGCGAATGGCCAGTTTGCAGCATTCGCACACCAGCGGCTGAGGCACTCGATTTCACTGATAGAAGTGGGACAAAACATTACGTAAGGTGTTATTTGGTACGGATTAGTAGAAGGTGCTGCTCAAAACGCTGCAAACACTCACTTAGGAGCTCCCTGATTGTAGTAAAGCCGGCATGTCATTTGCTGTGCATAGTAATCGGTGCGGGACGGGAACCTGGCAGCAAGAATGCTAACAAGAACGGTGGAAATGGCCAGCAAAAGAGCTGCTAACGACCCAGATGCAACGTTCAGGTTCAGGCGAAATGCCTTGTCTGTTTGCATGGTCGCCATTCCACAACGAGAAATTCAAGAATGGCTGTTTGAGAGTAGGTATTCTAGAATTTGGAAATGACCAGGCACTTGATTGTACCAGTTGGGCAAACTCGAACGGGCTGTCGGCCATGATGGGTGATCAAACCGGTTGGACGAACTTCACGAAAATATGTGTTGATGCATTTCGCTGAGTTACAGCTTTGTTGCGTGGCAAAACGGCAGTGGTCCAAAATTCCACGTCTCCACCAGATTTCCGCCCACCCCAAGAAGACTTGTTGCTGGGGCCAAACCAAACTGGCCCTAATCACAACCCCCTCCTTCGGCCTTAGCTGAGAGTTATGGCCATCTTATGGCGGCAGTTTTGTCAGGCTCGCCGTGGGATAACACCACACCACTGAACGGCTCAAAACTTTTGCGCTTCGCGTTGCATCCGCGGTGGTGGTTCGCGCTTTTCTCGAATCGATGGTTCTGTCTCGCGGCAGCGTCATGGGTGGAGGCGTGTTCAGGCGTCAGCTACATGTTCGGGCTGTACTCACAGAGCTTCAAGGAAACGCTGGGTTACAACCAGCAGATCCTCGACATGGTTGGCATGGCGAAGGATATTGGCGGAAACGTAGGTATTGTGTCAGGATTTGTTGGTGACATCGCACCCACATGGGTCGTTTTGGCGATCGGTGCCGTGTTGAACGTGATTGGCTACGGCTTCTTGTGGCTCGTTCTGACGGGGCGGCTGGGTGGCGCGTGGCAGCCGCCAGTGTGGGTGGTGATGGCGTTCATCTGCGTGGGCACCAACGGCGCCACCTTCTTCAACACGGCGGGCCTCGTCACTTGCGTCAAGAACTTTCCGCACAGCCGCGGCCCTGTAGTTGGCCTGCTCAAGGTATCGCTTGTTTTCGCTTTTCGACACGGATTTGCGGTTCTTGATTATCCTTTTTTAATCGACGTTCCCCTCCGCACTTGTGCTTTCTCCACGCACATTCACAGTCGACTCTCTGGCGCACCCACCCTCTCCCCGTGGTTGCGCATCCTCCCATCCCTCGTTCCACGGCAGGGCTTCATCGGTTTGAGTGGCGCACTGTTCACGCAGTTCTACCTCGCGCTCTACGCGCCCAACCGCGACGCGTTTCTGCTCATGGCGGCGTGGCTGCCGTCGCTCGTCGCCGTGCTCGCCACGCCCGCCATTCACCAGCTGCCGCCCGCCAGCGAGCCCTCAGAGCGCGCGAACCTCATGGCGGTGCTGGCAGCAGGCGTGGGCCTGGCGCTCTACCTGCTCGCCGCCAGCCTGCTGGACCACTCCGTGCACGTCACCTGGCACGTCAGCGCGCTCATCTCGCTCGGCGCGCTTGCCATCCTGGCGTGGCCCGCCCGCATTGCAGTCAGTCAAGAGGTGGTCGCGGAGCAGCAGCGCGCCGTGCATTCCGCCAGGCTGGCAGCAGGGGAGGCCGTGGAGGAGGGCAACGGCAGTCAGGGGATGGCGCATGGGGAAGGGGGAAATGTCAGAGCAGGAGGGCTAGAGGCAGCTCAGGCAAGCCGCAGTGGTTTAGAAGTACGGCTGAGTGGCAAAGGAGCAGGACAGGAAGGCACTGATAGGCGTGCTGTAGTGAGGCAGAGGGTGATGGGTGAGCGGCACACACAGGAGGAAGAGGAGAGGCAGCCATTGGTGGGCAGTGGCAGCAGTGGAGTGCGGACTGCTGCTGCACCACATGCTGCTCCGCTCAAAGCCAGGGAGAGTGAGGCATGGTCAGAGCAACATGACCCCAGCAGCGATCACTCAGGAGCTGCTACAGCCTTTCCTCAGGTGGGGGACGATCACACGTTGTGGCAGGCAGTGCAGACGCTGCCCTTCTGGCTCATCTATGCAGCCATGACGCTCGCCTCGGGGTCGGGCCTCACAGCCATCAACAACCTGGGGCAGGTGGGGCGGTCACTGGGCTACGAGCAGCAGGCCGTGGGCATCTTTGTGTCGCTCATGAGCATCTGGAACTTCCTCGGCCGTGTGGGAGCGGGGTACATCTCAGAGCACTTCCTGCACGAGCGGGCCGTGCCGCGCCCTGCCTTCATGGCCGCCACACAGCTCGCCATGGCAGCGGGCCACCTGCTCTTCGCCTCCGCGCTGCCTGGCTCGCTGTACGTGGGCTCTGCCATTGTTGGGCTGGCGTATGGGTCGCAGTGGGGCCTCATGCCCGCGGTGGCGTCGGAGGTGTTTGGGCTGCGGCACTTCGGCACGCTGTACAACTGGCTCACCATCACCAACCCCACCGGCTCGTACCTGCTCTCCGTCTGCATCGCTGGCTACCTCTACGACTACGAGGCAGAGCACGAGGCTGCCTCCTCTCCGCCTTTCCCCGTCAGTCCCGCTCCTGCGCCTGCACCAGCCTCAGGAGGCCCGGCGTTGATGTGCCATGGAGCTCACTGCTTCAGAGTCACCTTCCTGGTCATGGCTGCTGCCTGTGTGGTGGCCTCCTGCCTGTCCCTGGTGCTAGTGGACCTCACCCGCTCCCTGTACCTGGCGGGGTACACCCGGTGCCTCAGCATGGAGGAGCCAGCTACACCTGGAGGGCATGAGGTCTCCTGCAGCTCCAGCAAACAGCCTGTTGAGAGGGCTGGTGATGTGAAGCCACAAGTCAGCCAGTACTGAGTGACTATTTAGTGATTGGATAACACCTTGCTGAACCATGAATGTTTGGACCGTGAAAGTTGAAATTGTAAATATAGGTGTAATTTCAGAGTGTATTGCACATCTCTGTTCATGCTGTTGGCAGCAGAGCCTTCCCTGCAGGGGCAGGGGTAATGTCAAATGACAGCTGCACGTCCTGTGCTTCACTTGCTGCAGACGGAGTGAATGGAATCTTGAAGTTGACAGCCTTGTACAGACACAGGTCGTCCTGCTGGCAGTAGTACACCTGGTGGGGGTGGGGATGCAGAGAGAGCAGCACAAGATGGTGCATGAGGAAAAGGGTCATGGCAAGGCAAGGTGGCAGGGGTGAGTGATGCCCATACAATCCAAGTACTGTGCAGTACCTTGCAGTGGACCTGCACCACCGAGCTGCCGCCGCTGTCAACCGCATCTTCCTGAGTGAAGTCCAGTGAGGCGAGGGCGAGCGAGCCCGATAGAGTGAGGTCACCGGCCTGCGGTGAGACCGTCACTGCACTCCCCGCTTCTGGCAGCTCCACACTGAACTTGCTCGTGGCGCCCTGCTCGCATCACACGCACGCAGCCCAGGACAGGTTGCATACCAATGCCAGGTGTCTGCGACGTGGCACAGAGGACATAGGCAAGAAACACTGCAGGGGCAGCAGGGGTAGAAGGTGTACAGGAAAGAGAAACGCAAGCATGAGTGGGAGGGGTGAGGAGGGAGCAAGGAAGGGCGGGGAGCAGGGCGAGGCGCACAGCAGTGAAGTGGTAGTCCGTCGGGATGGAGAGTGCGAGCTGCAGCGTGCCCCTGGCCGCTGCCACTGGCGCCACCTCCACCACCTGCTCGTCCGCCCTCTGCCGTCGCCTCAGGCGCCGCCGCTGAGTTGAGGAGGAGGAGGCGGAAGGAGGGGGGACGGAGGAGAGGTCGAGCGTGGAGAGCAGGGCGGTGGGGGAGGAGGCGGATGGGAGGTGCAGGCAGCGAATGAGGCTGTTGTTGGTGTCGGCTATGAGCACCGTGCCTGGTGGGGGGGAAGAGGGGGGAAGAGAATGGAGGGGAGTGGAAGAAGAACGAAAGAAACATGAATTAAGGATGTTATGGGTTGATAATGTATGTGAAGCAGGAACAAAAGGAGGCGCATTTATTATAATACAGACAGATGAAGATGAAAACAGAAGGCCGACTTCTCAGAATCTGGAAGACTTGAGTGCAGGATAAACGGCAATGCGGCATGTGCATGTGGTGCTTATCTGGTGAGCACGAGGTCATACCATCGGGACCATGTGCCAGGCCTGCTAGCTCTGAGAGCTGCAAGGGTGAAGCGCAGGTGGTTGTGCAAGAGGCAAGCAAGGAACAAGGAAACAAAAATGGAGAAGGTGAGAGGCGATTAAGGTGGGAAGAAGCATTCAAGATCATTCCACACCAACCAGGAGATCCATAACCCTATCTGCACACGCCCCAATTAGAGCTTTGCTTGCCTGTGCCTGTAATCCCGGCCCGTCTCTGAAACCAGCTGAGCCGGTGCCAGCCAGTGTGACCACGGAGCCACGAGCCGGATCCACCAGCTTGATCTGCACCATGCACCATGCACCGTCAGGCATGCCGTGAGGTGTGATGGCATGATGCCATGCGGTGTGGCATCAGGCATGCAACAAAACAAGGATACGGGGTTCAGAGGGGTTACATTGGGACATGGAAGGGAGTGCAATGATAAGCACATAGAAGGAAGATTCAGAAAGGGCAAAAAAAGACACGGCTGGTGTACCTTGTGGTTGTATGAGTCAGCAACAAGCACCGTGCCATCGTCCAATGAGAGCGTGCCAAGTGGATGCTGCAGGAGAGCTCTGGATGCAGAGCCGTCACGGTCACCAAACTGCAAATCAGCGGGGAGTGAGAGTGAGAGAGGGGCAGGGGTGATGGTGAGGCGCCACACAACAGGCAAGGTACAGCCAGGCAGATGCATGCAACAAGGCATTGGCAGCACGGGTGGGAGGAGAGGCAGCAGCACAGTGGAGAGGCAAACGAGTAAGAGGGGCATGAGAGCAAGGCAGCGGTGAGACCTTGAAGAGGTTCTCAGCAAAGTTGGCATCGCCCCCGGCGATGAGTCTGGAGCCCCCTGTCTGCAGGTTGAGCGCTCTGAGCGCACTGCTCTCACTGTCCGCCACGTACATCTCCCTGCCGCCTGCTCACACGTGGGGGACATGGGGCGTTGGCAGGTGTAGGGGGAGGTGTGGGGGGTGGGTTGGGGCAAGAGAGGGTGTGAGAAACACGCTGTGTGATGTGAAGGCACATGGTCTGGTGCCCTCACTCTAACGGGGAAGTTGCGTATCAGTCCAAGGGGCTGCACTACAAGGCAAGGGTCAGCGTGTTTCAATAGAAGTGCGTCAAGAAATGAAGTAAAATGCATTGCATACTCGTCTGTCCTCCATGCCTCATGCAAATTGGTGAAGAGCCCGCTCACCTGGGGCCAGGGACAGACCCGACGGCTGGGCATATGCTGTGTCAGAACCCCTGGGGGAGAGGGAGGGTGGGAGGGCAGGAGAGGAACAGCAAAGAGCAAGGCGATACATAAGGAGGGGGCAGAAGAAAGGGACAGCAGGTAGCTGTGTGAACGACTATGGGGTAAGGACGCCTTTAAGAAAAGCCTGCACTCACATTCGGCCGTTCTGGTTCCTCTCGTAGCCCGACCCGCTGAACACCACGCATCGCCCGGTGTCAATGTCAAATCGCCAGATCTGATGCTGGCCCGCCATGGCCACCATCACTGCCGCCCTGTCCCCCGTCAGCTCCACGTCCCACGGCGAGTTCAATGGCTGCCAGCCATGCAGCACACGCATGCAGATGAGCGGGGATGAGGGGTGGATGATGATGCATGAGGGAGGAGACGGCAGGAAGTGGAGAACGGGAAGAGCTGGGAGCAGGGGGGCATGGCAGCGGGGCATGCAGCCACCATGACAGCATAAGCACAAGCACACAGCAGCCTCGCCCGCCCTCGTGCCTGGCCTGGCCTCACCTGCTCTCTGCCCCTGGCCCCGCCCTTGTAGTCCTGCCCCTTGCGCCCATCCCCCGCCACCGTGGTCACTGTCTCGCCCACCAGGTCCACTTGCCTGCGCGCATTGCATGCCGCATGCCACGCGCACAGGCACACACAGGAGGACAGTAGGGGCGGAGAGGGCAGGTGGCTTCGGAGAGTGAAGGCAAGCACTCTGATGGCATACATGCGTGTGTGCAGGAAAGTGTGGCCGCAACCGCGTGAGCCTCTACCAATAGATGGCAGAGCGGCACCAATAACTGCCATGGCTCCACCATCACACATGTACCAGAGTTTGGACCAGATCCTGCCTGCCTCACTGTGCTCTCACCGCAGGGCATGATTCTCTGTGTCCGCCACAAACAGAAGGTTCCGAGAAGGATCATACGCCACGCCCTGCGGCCTGTTGAACTGAGCCGTTTCAAACGACCCATCCACCAGCCCATCGCCCGCCCCTCCTATCTGCGCAAGGAAGCTCCCTTGCAGGTCCGTCACCACCTGCACTCAGCGGCGAGCAACAGCAACAACGGAGCACACTGGGCCGATTGGGGAGTTGGGAGTCATGGAGGCACGTGGATGTGAATTGTCTTTGCACAGCTAAGGTACAGAGAGGAAGGAGCGCAGCAGGTAGGCGAGGCAGGGCAGGGGCACGCACGATGCGGTGGTGGTTGGAGTCGGAGATGAAGAGGCGCCCGTTGGCCAGGTCCGAGGCCAGCTTGCCGGGGAAGCGCAGCGGCGACGCCACCACGCGCTGGTCCCGGCTGCGCTCCAGCGCCAGGGGGATGGGCGCGTCACTGAGCGCGCCCTTGGCGCCGTAGTACTCGATGGAGGCCGCTATGAGGTCGTCAAACAGCTGGCGGTTGCCCTCCCCTGGTACCATGGCGATGAGGCGACCCGTGGGCGCCACGAGGGCCAGTGTGGGCCATGATGACACGCCCAGCGCCCTCCACATGAGCATGTCCCCGTCGTTCACCACCTGAGGGGCGCCCAGAGAGCCACGCCCACGCGCGAACAATCAAGGCCACCACCCACCCACCCACACACGCGACGCACTGCCTCGTGCTGTTGAGGACTTGCACAGAGAACCTGTGGCCCCGATGATTGTGGTGCACAGTGGGAGTGGCAGGGCAGTGAGGGCACACGAGGTGTGAGGGAGAAGCAGCAAGTGCGGTGTACCGGGTGGGCGATGTCGTATCGGAGCACGGCATTACGGATGGCCTGCAGGTCCTTCTCATTGTCAAACTTGGCCGAGTGCACGCCCACCACCACCACCTGGTGCCACCCATGCACCCCACACGTGCCATGGGGGACACGCACACATGAGGAGGGAACAAGAGCGGGAGTGAAGCAAGGACTTTTTGGCATGCACAGGGGCATCCCCAACATTTGCATGCATGCACATGCACAACAGCATCCTAACACTATTCCTACATGCAACCCCACAACATGCTCATTTCTGTTCCCTTACCGGCTGGCCCTGGTATTTCTTCTCGAGGGCGGCGAGGTCTGGCAGCACGTGCATGCAGTTGATGCAGCAGTACGTCCAGAAGTCCAGCACCACCACCTTGCCACGCAGCTCCTGCTCCCATCCCACGAACAGGGGGGGGGGGTGGGGGAGGAAGAGGGGGTTGAGATGGGGAGGCGCTCGTAGCTGGAAGTTGAGGCAGATTATAACATGTGTGGCAGGTGAGGCTTGTGAAGTGGGTGGCGTATGAACGCAAAATGGAATGTGGAGCAAGGGCAAGCGGGGAGGCACAGACCCGATCGAAGGAGAGGGGGGCGCTGTTGAGCCATTGCAGGCGCGGCTCAAAGTCCGGCACCAGGTCAGCCGCACCACTGCCGGGTGCAGGGGAGGGGAGAGGGCAGAGACGGGAGAAAGGGAGGCAGCAGACGGTTGGCAGATGTGGTGGCGACATACGGGGATTGCTGATAGCACAGCTGATGCTCCCTCACCTTGTTCACAATCTCCTTTCTTACACACCAACACCGTCAGCACCCCCTAGACCACCCTCTCCTGCTGTCCCGCTGTGGCTGATGCGGTAACACGCACCTGCGGTCCAGCTGCTGCTCTCACCTGCGGTCCAGCTGCTGGATGTACTTCACGAGCCCACGTGGCCCCGCCGCATCGGCGGGCGGCACAGCAGTGCCCGTGAGCATGTTGAGCAGCGCCTTGGGGGACGCGTAGGAGAACGCCTGGGGGGCGAGGGCACACAAGGGGGAGTGGGACGGGTACGGGGGAAGGGGTGAGGGGGTGGGAGGGGGGTGTGAATGGGCGGGAGGCAAGAGGAGAGGGCAGTGGGTGAAGATGGGGACGTTAGGGTGGGGGGAGGTAGAGGGCGAGGCAGAGCGTAGAGGGGGAGGAGGGGGAGGAGCGGACCTTGAGGTTGTGGAGGGTGAAGGGGGTGGTGGCGAGCCCCATGGCCAGGCTGGCGTAGCGCATGGCGTCCCGCCGCATCACCCTCATGCTGCCATGCCATGCAGGGCGCGCACACAGCACAGGCGCGGTGAGAGGGTGTGAGCTTGGTGAGTTGCAGCATACAGGAACGTGGTAATGGCACACCCTCCAGTCCGCGCACTCACCCTCCTGGAAAGAAACTCACCCGCCCGGCAGGGGAAGAGGCTCATCTATGGACGCCCACAGCCCCTTGCTCTCCCCTGATGCCACAGGTGGAGACAATGGTGCTGCTGGGGTTTGCAGGGAGAAGAGCGAGAGACAATGAGATGAGGACGTGGGCAGGGGGAAAGAGAAAGGTCAAAAACAACAGATGAGAGGCAAAACGAGCAGTCGCAGTGAAAGCATATGGATGATGCGAGGGAAGAGACGACATGAAAGAGGAGATGGACAAACAGGCAACAAGAGTACGAGGAAGTGAGCGTGAGAGAGAAGACGAGGCAATTGTTAACATAATGCGAGTTATCATTAACAGCATAGAGCTGCCTGACAGGGACAGCAGATCACCACTGCACACTAGTGTCACATTGCTATGGCCCATATCTACCCAATACTGCGGGCAATCTAGGATCGAGGCCCGCTACAGTGCACACAAGGCTGGTAGCTGCAACCGTACTGCTCGATGCTAGCAAACAGGCAAGCGACAGAGGTGGCCTGCAGGAGGCACAAGCTGGCTACGAGCTACCATCAGCTGTGGCAGCCGTAGCAGCAGCGCCAGATGAGCCGTTGTCTTCATCATCGTCTTCGGGGTAGCGCAGAGAGGTGATGTCAGCCACGCTGATGTCAGCCACGCTGATGTCAGCCACGCTGATGTCAGCCACGCTGATGTCAGCCACGCTGATGTCAGCCACGCTGATGTCAGCCACGCTGATGTCAGCGATGTCTCGGCGAATGAGAGCGGGGCGGCCAGCGGCAAGGCTGGCGGCTGACAGGGTGGTGGTCACGGCTATGGACCTGGAGTTTGGGGGGGGGGGGGGGAAGGGGATTTGGAAAGGGGAATGCGGGGAAGGGGATTTGAGGAAGGGGAAGGGAGATTGGAAACTAGGTGGATCAGAGAGCAACCAGGCAGATGAGCATATGCAAGGAAGAAAAGAAAGGAACATGGATGCGGGAAAGGGGAATGGGGGAGGGGGTGCAAAAAAAACCATGCCGAGTGACTGCTTTCATGGTAACATCTCCCAAAGTCACCTCAGCACAGTGATGTAAGCCCACCCACCTCATGCCAGCAGCTGTGGCTGCCTGCACGCCCGCAAGAGCATCTTCAATCACCACACACTGCGGGGGAGGGACACAATCCATCACGCGAGCCAGTGAGACAGGAGCAGTGGAAAAAACACGCGGATCAGCCAGAAATACAGCAATAACTATAAAAAGCGACCCTCTCGTACCCCGCCCCGCATCGTGCTGTCAGAATCTTCCCCACCCCAGGAACAGCCCCCCGCCACTGTGCTGTCACCTGATCCGTGGGCACGCCCAGCTCCTTGGCGGCGGCGAAGAAGATGTCGGGCGCCGGCTTGAGGCGCTCAAACTTGTCCGCCGATACTATGGCGTCGAACCTGGAGGCGTGGCATGGCATGGACACGGCAGGTGATGCATGCAGCACGAAGATGGAGGCGAAACGTGAGTGCACCAATGGCACACGGCCAGGCCCTCCACTGCATCCACACCTGCAGGTCCCGGCTTCAATGTCCCTACGCAAAAGCCAAAGAGCGAACTCCTTCCCTTCACTTCACTCACACACATACACTGACGCACGCACCTGTCCTGTGGGATGCCTGCAGCTACGAGATTGGCGTCCACCTTCACTCGGTCCGCACTGGCCGCCACTGCTGTTCTCAACCCTGCCGCGCGGCACTGGGGCACGACGGAGGGCGTACGTTGGGAATGACAGGAAGGAGAGGAGGAGAATCGATGGTATTGCCGGATGCGTATTTGAATGGAAGTAGGCCATGGTACAGGAACAAGCAGGGAACTTCAAGATAAGGACATAGAAGCAACAAGGTTGTTAAGATGTTTTGACTCTTGAGTCCGCAGCCCCTGCAATGGAAAGAGCTGAATCCCTTCGCTGGATCACAACACTCAACTCTGTCGCTCATTCACAGGCACAGGGGCGTGTGCCTCACCTCCTCCACTAGCTTCAGTGCACCGGGGAAGCCAATGCCCGAATCGGGGCGAGCGAACTGCAAGGGAGGCGAGACGGGTGGCGTGCGTAAAGTGAAGGCGATCAATGGTAGTGCAGACGCGATCAGTAAAAGTCATTGCTAGAGCAAGATTCTGACTTTCTTTCAAGTCTGATACAGCAGTGTTGAAATCCATTCTGGCAGGTAAATGTAGAAATAGAATCTCAGATGGCAGTGTTGAGACTTCTTCTTACCCGGTCAATGTAGATCTCGAAGAATCTCTTCTTAGCCTTGTCCGCATCAAACCCCTCCACTCCATACACCCGCGCCACACCGCCCAGGAAGTTGGCTTCCCCTGCAACGAGAACAGCAAGATTCAAATTATTCGGCTGAATTCTGCTGGCGGAATGGAACAATTCGATGCCCCTCTGGTTGCATTGTGCTTGTTGCTACTGCGCCACCAGCAAAAACCACCTGGGCATTCGACATGTTGGGAACCAAAGCTGGTGGAAAGAATTACGCAACTGTGATGTGATTCACTGGCTCAGGGTCGCTGCTATGTCTCACCTGTTCCCATGAAGGGGACGAAGTCTTGAGCCGTCACAGTCACGCCCATCTCCGCGAACAGCGCGACGGCGGCTTCGCGCGAGGGGTCTTCGCTGTCGCACAGCACGCCGTCCATGTCGAACAGCACCGCCGCCACCCGCGGGGGCGCTGCCTCGCCCGCTCCCGCTCCCGCGCCATCCGCATCAGCGCCATCTGCGGCAGCAGCGGCTTTCACTGCCAGAGCCCGGCGTTGAGGCGGTGCTCGCTTCTCCAGCGAAGCAGCGATGCCTGGTAGGCCAGGGGGTGGCCAGGCCGCGGGAATTGGGTTCGAAATGTCACAGCGTGGTAAGGAAGGCGAACGTTGCATGCTGGCTACATCCACTATAAAGGAGAATCGCTCCGCCAAGCGTGGCTGGATACACTAGCCTTCCATCAATACTCTACGTTGACAGAAATTATATTCTAATTCTCTAATTGGCTGGTTCATAAATACAGGAGACTCTCTGTCAAGGACTAACACCGAGCATAGAAGCATTACGTGCACAACAGGCCGTCTTGGCCTAGCCTGGCTACTGGGATTCGAGAATTATTCTCACTCAAGCCTAAATTGAAATTGTCGGAACCTACCAGCGCTCAGAAGCGAGGCGAACGAGAGATGTCTCCCCCGACGCCTGGAGGTCAATGCATGGACTTTCCTTCCCCGTGCATTCGGGTTCGCCTGATATAAGGCACGCGGGACATTATTATTCAACCCTCGATGGTTGCCAGAGCAATCCGCGAGCAGCGGCGTGGTTCCGTGGCATGCGAGAGAGGACGCCATGGCTGTCAGCAGTGCTGACCAGGCAAGCACCTGGTGAAAAACTGGAGATGCCGCAGAACGGAGAGACTTCACACGATTCAGCGCAGGCGCAGCGGTACAGCAGTGGCGGGAGTGAAGCTGAGGTGGTGGTGGCGAACGAGTGGCGACATGGAGGTGCTTCGCGGGAATAAAGGCAGCCCACCACGTGGGCAGTTGTTGACCACACGCCCAAATGTTACACAACGATTCCAGCTCCTGGATTTCAGACTCTAACCATAATGTTTACTTTACAAAGGATGCCACCACTAGGCACCAAGGTGGTGCTGCCTTACAGGCTTGTTTTGTTAGTATGGCCTTTGAATAATCAGTAGAATGCAGCCACCAATACATCCTTCGAGTAGTGAGCATATGGTGAAGGAAAGCTTTGCCATGCAATCATTCAAATCTCATGGCTTCGGCCAAACTTTGGTCTTTGGGGTGATTGCTCACTGCCTATCTTGCTGCTAGCAGCTCCTCCCGTCCAAGTGGACGACTTGGGAACCCTATCCTGCGGTTCATTCTCCTCCCCTGGTTTCAGCAGCTCGAACTGGCACAGCAGCCGTGGCCCCTCTGCCTCATCGCCCTGCTCCCCGGCCATGGGTCTGCCCTTGCGGTCGTACAGCGGCACACAGCGGAAGCCCGGCCTCAGGCCCATCACTGGCAGCACCACCTGCCCTCCAAAGTCGTCCTGATATAAATTCCTCTCAAAAAGCTGTGGCGCGGAGCAATGCAGCACACAGGGGTTGGACAGACAATGTCAGACCCAAGTGCGTGGGGTTCAAGGCGCAACCATGCAATGACAAAGGGGGTACAAACTTGAAAACATGCAACAGAGCTAGAGGACACCATGTTGTGAGCAATGCGAAGGGGATTTAGAATGATGGGGGGGGGGCAACTCACATAGTCAAAAAATGGGTAGCAGGACGACGAAAGGCCCAGCACTTTGACCTGTGCAGTAGAAGTGGAGGGGAGAGAGAGAGGAACACAAGAAGAAAAGAACTAGAACTCGTGGACGTGGAGTGGATGCATGACACAGCAGACAGAGAGGACGCGAAGAGAGGGGGAAGCTGGGAAGGGCGAAGGAGTGGAAATGGGGGACAATGGATAGATGGATTACGAGCTTCCTTTAAGAGCAACTGGCAGGGCAGATAGAGGTGATGGAAAAAGAGAGCAGGTGGGGAGGAGCTCGAAGGGGGCTTCAAAGCAGACCCCAAAGAAGGGCACAAATCAGACCTCAAAGCAGAGCAGGGCGAGGTGCGGCAGGGTGAGGGGGAAGAGCAGCGGCGTGTCGTCCCAGCAGGGGTTCCAGTTGCCCACCCGTATGTCCAACCGCCTCTCCGCAACATCCGCTGGCGCCCCCTCCACCGCCACCTGTGAGCCCCCCGTGCAGTGAACGTGGGAGAAGGAGCAGGGGGAGAAAGGTGCGCATGCGTATGATGCATGGGGCATAACGTGTAATGCATGGTGGATGGCATGCACAGGAGAGGGTGAGGAAAGAACACTCAATGCCAGGCTGAAAGGCACTGAATGCACATCCCTGTGGCGCTGGGCTCATGAGGCGCCATGCCATGCCATGCCATGCAAGCACGCACCCGGCAGAGCAGGCTGGGCCCGCCAGCATCGAAGTTGTTGTGGGAGAAGCGTGTGTACCACCCCGTGCCCAGGATCACATGCACCTGCCGCCCTTGCACACAGGGGGGCGACAGGGAGGAGGACAGGGGGGAACGAGAAGGAACACAGCCGAGAGTGGCTTGGTCAGAGGCAGAGCGGTGGGTTGGCTGCTGGTGCTGGCGCTGGTGCACATGGGGATGGCGGCCGTGCTGAGTGGGAATGCGTGCAGCACATGGGCCCAGCGGGCAAGTGATGCCCACTGCATGTACACATGCTCATGCCATGGGCAGTGTGGGAAGGTAGGCAAGGGCGGCCGCACGCACCCTGAGAATGAGCTCCACGGGGCGCACTGCCTGGGGGTTGTACGCCACACCCTCCTGCCCCCCGCCCCCCCTCTCCCTCTCCTGCCCCTCCGCGTGCCCCTGGACTGTCCCCATGAGGCAGGCGGGCTTGCGCACATAGCCGCAGGCGCCATTGGCGCGGAAGAAGCCGTGCACGAGCCACAGCGGGCGGCCGTACCCCTGCATGTTCATCGCCACCATCTGCGCCCCGTGCAGCCACGCCTGCCATGCCATCAGAAATGGAGCAAGAGGGAGGGGTGCGTGGGCATGCGAGTCACTCACATGCGTTGAGCATAAGTCCTTGGGCTACACGGTGGAGGTGCACAGGCGCATTCTTGCCATGGTGAGAGCAAAGAACAAAGGAGGCACCAGGGGTGGTGGGTATAGGAGTGGCAGGAGCAGCACCTGCATGGGGTTGTAGTTGGAGGACGTGACTCGCAGGCCAAACGGGTAGATGCGCAGCAGATGGCGCTGCGTGAACCTGACCAGGGGGACATGGCGTGGGACGGAACGACGGAAGAGGGGAAGATACTGAAGGGGAGCGGGGAGAGGGTGTGGGCGGCAAGAATATACTTGCACCGATCTCCACCACAGGACACGGAGAGCTGTGGGCATGGGAAAACTGTGCGCATGTGACTGACGTGGCTGAACACTGCCTTGTTGCATTGCACGCACTTCAGCAGCAGGTGGGGAGAGGAGCGGGCAGCAGTGGCGAGCTGCGTTTCAGACAGTGAGATGCGCCGCACCCCCTCGCCCTGCCCCGCGCTCAGCCCCTCCTCCACGCTGCCGCCCTTGAGCTTGCCGCCCGGGATGGAGATGAGGCGCCGGTACTGCGGCACCTTGGCTGTCAGCGCGTCGTCTGCTGCCTCCTCCGCCGCGTCCTCCTGCGTCCACTGCACCTCCACCTGCCAGGCGGACGTGGAGGCACGCAGCGGGATGAAAGATGGGCGTTGAGGGGCGGCCGTGGCATGCGCAAAAGTGCCAAATCTCTCAAACACGAGTGATTCATTGATGTGCAAGGCAATTACACGGGGATGCAGAGAGGGGCGGGGGGAGGTGGTGCAGCACTGACCTGGTGGAGGTGCGTCTCATCCACCTGGTGCAGCTGCAACGACCGCCCCGACCACTGCCCACTGCTCTGCCCCATGCTGTGCCCCATGCTGCCCCACCCCAAGCCGCTGCCACTGCCTCTCGACACACTCCCTCTGCTGCGCCGAGAAAACCCCCCTGACCCCCCCACAGGGCTGCCTCTGCTGCTGCGGTGCCTGCTGCCCCTGCTCAGTGCCGCCCCCAGCGCCACGGTGGGGTCATCCCCCCCATCCTCGCCCCCCTCCGCTGCCACCGGGAAGGAGAAGGACTCCCGCCCCCCCCGCGCCCGCCCGCTGCCCCCTTCTGCTGCCCCTGCCTCAGCAGCACTGCCTTCCCCCGCTGCCCCCGCGCCTCCTGCCCTTCCCCCTGGGTCATCCGCGACCTCCTCTATGCCCGATAGCTGGCTGTTGCTGGCAGGTGCATGCGAGGATGGTTGGGGATGTGAGTGCGGGGGTGCAGCAGCAGCAGCAGCAGCAGCAGCAGCAGCAGCAGCAGCAGCAGCAGCAGCAGCAGCACCCGAAGCCAGCGTTGCAGATGATGACCCCTCTGCCAGGTCTCTGAAGGATAGCCAGTCCGCCTGGCCCCGTGCCAGCTCAGCACCATGGGAGTTGCATGCCACGTCAGCAGCAGGTAGAGTGCGAACGACACCATTAACAACACGACCACTTGCCACATCATCCGATGAAGAAGCGCATGACACATCAGCAGATGAGGAAGCACGTGCCACATCAGCAGATGAAGAAGCACGTGCCACATCAGCAGAGGTGGAAGCATGTGCCACATCAGTAGCCGAGTCGACACGTGCCACGTCAGCATCACGACCACGTGGGGACATGCAACGGGGCGAGCAAGCTTCAGCCCCCGCAGCTTCCCGGAAGGATCCCCCAGGGGCGGGGGCGACGACGGTGGAGAGCTCCTTGGGTCCCTTGGGCGGCTGTGTGGACACGAGGATGCGGCGCCGCAGCGCGTAGGGCGAGGGGAAGTCGCCCTGGGGGGACTCGTCCTCAGGGATGTACAGCATGTCGCCCAGTATCTCGCACATCGCCTGGGGGGAGAAGGTCCAGGGGGGAAGGAAGGCAGGGGGGCGGAGGAGAGGAGGGGAGAGTGGGTGGGCGGAAAAGAGAGTTCTGGTCCGGGTGTGCGGAGGAGGAGAGGGCTGTGGGGAGGAGGGTGAGAGGGATATGAAGCGGCTTGGCAAAGTGCATGGAACAAGAAATGCATCACCTGGGCAGCGATGGCCTGCAGGGGGGGCGGGAGGTGGTCTTCGAGGGTGATGATGACGGGGTAGTCGGACACCGCGAATGCATGCTCCTTTATCGCCCCTATGCACTCCCCAAACCCCACCGGCCGCGTCAGCGTGCTGCACCCATGCACGCAGGAGGGGGGGAGGGATGGAGGGGTAAGGGATTGGCACGGTAGGAAAGGGAGGGAGGGAGGGAGGGACGGATTGGCTTGGGAGTGAAATGGGGCAGGCACGGTACCTACAACTTATTAATTCTAATGACTTGATGCACTCACTCGACTTGTCAACACATCCCTCTCTCTCTCGCTCCCTCGCCCTCCGTGCTCCCTCACTCGCTCGCTGCTCGCGCAATCACCCCCCATGCATGACTTACCCCCCGTGCATGACTCACCCGCCGTGCATGACTCACCCGCCGTGCAAGACTCACCCGCCGTGCATGACTCACCCCCCGTGCATGACTCACCCCCTCATGCATGACTCACCCGCCGTGCATGACTCACCCGCCGTGCATGACTCACCCGCCGTGCATGACTCACCCGCCATGCATGACTCACTCCCCATGCATGACTCACCCCCCATGCATGACCCACCCCCCGTGCATGACTCACCCCCCATGCATGACTCACCCGCCGTGCATGACCCACCCGCCATGCTCCCTTTCTCTCACCCGCCGTGCATGACGAGGATCTCGGACTTGTCACTGGAAGGCCAGAGGTCGAGCTCGATCACGCGCACGCCGCGCCTTAGCGCCTTCACGATGGGCTTCACGGAGCTGTCGCTGGTCAGCTGGTTGCCCTTCAGGTACGAGTTGTGCCCCGTGTATATGTAGTAGTGCGACAGCGGTAACCGCATGTCCGCACTCACCTGCTCCCCTCCACGTACCCACAAAGGGAGGGTGAGGAGGGGAGAGAGGCGGGAGGAGGGGAGAAGGTGGGGGAAAGAGGAAAATAGGGGCAGAGGAAGAAGGGGTGCGGTTAATGATGGTGCGTGCCCTGTCTTGGAACCGCATCCTGCCTCTACCCCTCCACTCATCCACTCATACTGCCCCGACCCGCCTCACATCCTCCTCACCCACCGTCACCCACTCCCAGTTCCCCCTCCCCCCTCCATTCCCCAGCCCTGAGCGCGCAGTGCAGTACCCGGTTGGCGAAGGCGGGCGTGAGCAGCGGGACGAGCAGCACGTGCAGGAAGTGGTCCGCGTTCGGCTCCGCCTGCCCCTTGAGGCGGCTTCCGCCCAGCGTCAGCGAGTAGCGCGTCAGCGTGCGCGAGTGGCGGTGCCCCTGCGGCTGCGCGCGGTGCGAGCGGCTGCGGTGCACCTGGGGGATGCCGTCCGCGGGCTTGGCGCTGGACGAGGGGAAGGACAGCAGCAGGTTCGCCATGGGGCCGTGCAGCACGCCCTGCGCGCACACGGGGAGTAAAATGACAGAGGAAACGGGGGGAGGGAGTGGGGGAGGGGGTGCGGGAGGGAAGAAAAGGGAGGGCTTAATGGAAGGGAAGGATGGGTTGCGGGGAAGGCGGGCGAGAATGAGGCGAGAGGTACTATGCGCCGGGGAAGCACCCCCATCTCACCACCTTCTGACCACCTCCCTCCTCTTCCATCCCGCGCACGCGGCACCTTGCCCTCCCGCGCGACCTTTTCCCGCATCCCCCCCGACGCACCTTGTCCTCCCCCCTCACCCCCACCTTTTCCTGCTGGAACTCCCCCGCACCTTGTCCTGCTGGAACTCCCCCGCACCTTGTCCTGCTGGAACTCCCCCGCACCTTGTCCTGCTGGAACTCCCCCGCACCTTGTCCTGCTGGAACTCCCCCGCACCTTGTCCTGCTGGAACTCCCCCGCACCTTGTCCTGCTGGAACTCCCCCCCACCTTGTCCTGCTGGAACTCCCCCCCACCTTGTCCTGCTGGAACTCCCCCGCACCTTGTCCTGCTGGAACTCCCCCCCACCTTGTCCTGCTGGAACTCCCCCCCACCTTGTCCTGCTGGAACTCCTGGAAGAACTTGAGCAGCGCCTTGCTGGTCATGACGCCGTTGTCGTCAGCGTACTGGTCGAACGCGCGCTGCACCATCGCCGGCACGGGCGGCGGCACGCCCTCCGACTCGCCGCCGTGCAGCACGTCCAGCCAGCGCGACCACGTGACGCCCATGCGCACGCCGCTACACCACGCCAGCTCGCATGTGCCGGCTCCTACACGTAACGACGGACGCTGGTGCTGCTCGCGGTATGGCGGACATCCAGAATGGCGTCAGGTCAAGTCGTGAACGAATCCGCGAATGAACACGAAATGAAACTCTTCTGCTTTATTGTGATAGAGGAGTGCGATGAAGACTACCAGAAGGTCTGAATGTAAACCTAATAATTCTTTAGCTTTCCGTTACTACTACGCAAGCATGTCAAGGACACTGTAAGAAGTAAACGCGTTGTGAATCTGACGATGACGGGGTGATAAATGGATCGACTTGCGAAATTTTCATGGTTTGGCGTGGCTGTCAGGCCACCACCGTTCGCGTTAGTGACTGATCATAGACATTGTTGGATCGAAGTAACCGCACACAGACCAAATCGACAAATCTCCACCAACAGACGGGGTGAGTGCTACTAACGAAACTTCTCTGAATTCCTCAAATCGATATGAGATCATTTGCTTGGAAGGAATACAGCATTCTACTGTATTGTATTTCTGCGGAAATCATAACCATTGACGTGTTTCTCGAGGTTGTCCTGCCACGTTTCGCACACGCGAATCAGCAAAAATGCACGAGCCAACCAAAAGCGTTTCGTCAGTTGGCCAAATCTGGTTGCCACGCTGTGCTGGGCAAATCGCGTTGCCAGCACGGCAAGGGCAGCGATGATCCAGTATCACTCCTCGAAACCCATCTCCACCGACAATTAATTGGATCAAATGACAACAATCCGAAAATCTCAGCATTTCCACTTCAGTTACCCAGTGCGACGAACACCACCAAAACGGCTGACGAGAAACCCGAGCAGGGAATTTGCCACTGATTGTCTGCCAGCAATTCTTTCCGACATTGCCAGCCTAGCAGGTTCACCGCCCAGTTCTCTCGAGGCGACGCGGGGCATTGCGTCCCCGCGAACTCAGGGACGCATTGTCACAATGTCGATATCCCGCTCGCTTGCCCTCGATAGAGTCACTCGAATTTACTCGTTATCGTCATTTTCTATCAGCCAACAAAGGTTCTCGCCGGTCAGTTGCGTTTCCTCAACGCGACTCCCTCCATCGCGGCCTGCTGGTGAGATAAATTCCAAATTCATGCGCTCTCCACGCCTTCCCGCTGCTTCCATCGCCATGTCCCAATGCACCCCCCACCGCTCCTCATTTGCGTCCCCTTCCTTCTCGCAGCTTCGCTGGGTCGAATCAACCCCACGGACAAGGATTCAACAGCCAGCTGGAGCTCCCCTCTCCGCCAGCCGCTCATTGCTGCGGGACTGGCAGCGGCATTGCTGGCCTCCGCCCCCCGTTCTCTTGCGGAAGCAGCTGTTGCTGCCGCTGATGGCGCAGCGGCGGATTCCGCTGCATCAGCAGCGGCGCAGGCATGCGGGGAGCTGCTGGGAGGGGCGGACTTCAACACTGTTGTGGCCGTGGTGTGCGCGCTCGAGTTCATTGCGCTCACTGGCGCTGCTGTGGGAGGTGAGAGAAAAGGGGGGGGAAGGAGGGAGGGGGGGGGGGGCGGGGGGTACGTCCTGGGGGAAGTTATAAAACTGGGTGACGCGTTGGGCTGTGTAGGTCCAGTGTACACACGGTCACTCGCCGTAATCTCATAAACTGAAAGTAAGAAGCTCAGAATAACGAAAAGGCATCCTGGCCCAGTAAGGTGCACCTGCACAGGCTGTGGAGCCTTATGCGCGAAGCCATGTCAAATTTATCTCTGACGGACACGGGTGCACCCCAACCCTGACTTCTACGTGGCAGGGTACATGGCATTGCAGCAGGGGAAGGAGATGGAGCGAATCAACAAGCAGCTGAGGCAGATCAACATGAGCCTCAAGAGGCAGGCCCGCTTGGACGCTCCCTCCCTCACCTACTCCCCGCCTCCTCCTAGCGCTGCCTCACCTGCAGCCGGCACCAGCCGCATAGCAGAGGCAGCAGCAGCTCCCACTGCTGATGCACCTGCAGATGCAGCTAGGGCAACGGCTATGAGTCAAACGGCTCATGCTGTGAATGATGAGAGGGCAGAGCTGCTCCGCATGCTGAAAGAGGGCAAGAAGCACCTGCGGGATGGGCACCCAGGTTCGGCATTTGTGGAGTTCCATGTGGCTCTGAGCAAGGCAAAGGAGCTGGGAGATGCGTTTGAAGAGAAGAAAGCTGCCAGAGGACTGGGTAAGTGTGGTGTCAGCACGTGCATTTTCATATATGCACGTATTTCAATATCAAAATATGCATGCAATGACCTAACTCAAAGCCCTGATGTCCCTGTTCACGTGCTACTTCCTCCCCTTCAGGAGCCGCTTGTCAAAGGCAAGGGAAGTACAGGGAAGCCATTGGATATCATCAGCTGGTGCTGGAGAAGTCATTGGCAACAGGAGAGCATTCCGGTGACACAGAGGCATACGGTGCCATAGCGGACTGCTATACTGAGTTAAGAGACACAGAGAAAGCTGCCATATACTATGACAAATACATCAACCGCCTCGAGCAAGATAGTGATGAAGAATGAGACATTTCATTCTCTGAAATCATTTGCAGTACCACGTATGGCACTGTTTGTTCAGTTTTCCTGATCGTTTGACCCGCTATCCCTTATGGTTCGCGCATCCGCACCATTGTGAGCCGAACGTCTGTCTAGAGTAGTGCCAGAAAATTTACAAACAAGTGACATGTGCCTACGTGCTAGCCTCAATACTTCTTTCCATCTATACCCCATGGCTTCTTGCACAATATTTCTATTACCTATATCATGATGTCGTGTGATGTCAGTCATGATTCATTATTGTATTCGCATATTGTCCGCGAGTCAAACTGATCTCCCTTGCTGACATATGCGCCATCTGTTCCCTATGGACAGAGAATCGACGGTCTGAAGGGGAGCACGCAAAAGAATCAGTGCATCGGCAGAATTTCTTCCAAGTCTCCGTCACCGCCACTGTTGTCGCCTTTGGCTCCTCTCACCCGCGCGGAGAGTCCAAGCCTCGCGCAGCCCGCTATTCCGCCGTTCACTTCTCGCGCACACAGCACCCCCTTTCCTCTTTGCTCTCTTCCTCACATCCGTGTTCAGATTAGTGCAGGTTCCGTCGAGTCGGCACCGCGACATCCACCTACCTAGGCCCTGTGAAATTTTAGGTCGCCATGCTTCCTGTTTCCGTGAAGATGTTACTAGGGAGAACACTTCGTTTCGAAGCCGCGGCTTACTATCCGAGCTAAATTTCCTCGAGCGAGAACCGACTATTGCTGTTCACAATCGCCTCATTGCGTCGTTTACACGCGTACACTTATTTTATTTTCTTCGGAGCGCATAACAATGGGGGCGTGCTGCAGTAGCCCCGCCGGTCATCACAGCAAGCATAAAAGCGGGCCGTTGGATTGTTTTCCAGCGGGTGGTTCCTCCGAGATAGAGCCAGGTATGCGCATCGTCATGCTCGCCCACACCGCCCTTCGCAACCCATAAGTCCAACCCCCATGCGCTGCCCAAGCCGCCCGCGTGCGTCTGCGAGTCCTTCCGTCGTCCCCCACGCGCACCCAATTCCCCGTCTTCCCCCTCGCCCCCGCATCCCCTTGTCCCCGGTTCAGTGGCGAACATTTACGACGACAACGCGTCGAACGCGTCGTTCGCGAACGACTTGCGGCGCTTCTCGTATCGCGAGCTGCAGGCGGCGACGGGGCGGTTCCGGCGCGGCAACCTGCTGGGCGAGGGCAGCTTCGGCAAGGTGTACCGCGGCTCCGTGCCGGACTGGCTGGGCGAGCTGCCACGTGGACAGAAGCGCAAAGTGGCCGTTAAAGTGCTCGACTCTGATGGCTTCCAGGGCTTCGGCGAGTGGATGGTGGGCCATGGGGATGGATGGTGGGTCATGGGATGGATGGTGGGGCATGGGGATGGATGGTGGGTCATGGGGATGGATGGTGGGCCATGGGGATGGATGGTGGGTCATGGGGATGGATGGTGGGTCATGGGGATGGATGGTGGGCCATGGGGATGGATGGTGGGTCATGGGGATGGATGGTGGGTCATGGGGATGGATGGTGGGTCATGGGGATGGATGGTGGGCCATGGGGATGGATGGTGGGTCATGGGGATATGTGACGGGCCATGCGCCGTGATGTGCGCGTGACAGCAGCGTGGCAGCCGTGCAATATACGCGGTGCGGTACCCCTCACCCTTCCTTTCTCTCCTCACCTCCCTTGCCCTCCCTTCCCATCCCCCTTTCCTCTCCTCTTCCCTCCTGTCCTCTCCCACATCATCAGTCGGAGGTGCTACTGCTGGGGCGGCTGAGCCACCCCAACCTGGTGCGCCTGCTGGGCTACAGCACGGACAGGGAGGAGGCCATCCTCGTTTATGAGCTCCTCGATAACGGCAGCCTCGACGCCTGGCTCTTCCCAGACGACTCCAGCAGCAAGCGTGTGCGGCGGGCGCTGACATGGGAGGAGCGTGTGCGGATCGCACTGGATGCGACGATGGGGCTGGCGCACCTGCACGCGGAGAACATCATTCACCGCGACTTCAAGTCCTGCAACATCCTCCTCGACCACGTGCGCCCCCCTCCCCCACCCCTGCCTGCCCCACCTCCATCCGCACCCTATCTGCTACTAATGGTTCGCTCAAGCAACTTGGTTTCTTCCAGGAATCCTCACCTCACTCACACCACCGTGCCCCCTGCGCTGCCCCTTTCCCTCCGTTTGCAGAGCATGCGGGCGAAGCTGACGGACTTTGGCATGGCGACGGTGGGGCCGGAGGCGGGGCAGACGCACATATCCACGCGCGTGCTGGGCACCATGGGGTACCTCGACCCCAAGTACCTCGAGACAGGTGCGCGCCCAACCCACTGCATGGCATAGGACTGCCTGGATTGCCCGAAGAGCAATAAAGGCTCAATCCACCGCTTTCATAACACCATTCAGGCATTCAGGGTTGTTCCATGCACACAGTTCTCTTGCCACTCATCGCACCACCCACTGCTGTCCCTCCCCCGCCCGTGGCCATGAGCAGGCCACCTGACCCCCAAGAGTGACATCTACGCGCTGGGGGTCGTGTACCTCGAGCTGCTCACCGGCCGCCCGCCCTCAAGCGACGAAGACCAGGACGCCAACGGGGAGGGCGGCTTGACAGCCTGGATTCGGCCACACATCTCAGTGCGCCGCCCAGATCTAGACATCATATTGGACCCGCGGTTGAAGGACCAGTTCTCCCGCGTGGCGGCACAGAAGCTGCTAGTGCTGGCCAAGCACTGCATCAGTGAGGACCCGGTGGCGCGGCCGCAGATCCAGGATTTGGTGAAGTCGATGCAACACATCGTTGCCATCGGGCACTCTCGATCGGACTCCAGTGGGTCGACCATGTCAGGGCACAGCAGATCAGCCTCCCTTGTCTCCGCCACATCGGGGGGCCACAGCCGATCCGCCTCTGCCTCTTCAGCTTCCGCCAATGAGGCCACGGTGAACAGCATTGCGGACAGGAACGGTGGTATGGATGCTAGGCGGAGTGGCAGCGACGGGCGGAACTCCTGGCGATCGTTGTCATGCAGAGATGCCGGGGGAGGAAGTGACAGAGGCGCAGAGAATGGGATTGATGACGGATCGTATGTTAATGCTGGCAAGGCTGTGTTCCAAGAAGCAGCGCCAAGGTGAAGCTAGTACCGTATTTTATCAGTGCTTTCCATGTGCATTAGTGTATAGCAAAGGTTTGCGTAATTAAATAGAGTATAAGCCCACCTCATGTAAATTACTTTCTGTACCTTCAGTTCACCACCCTGCGAATTGCTTCCGCTGGGCGGGAAATATCAGCGCCAGGCCTCGCGCGTTCGCAACCCATCCCGCCTTCGCCGTGCAGCATTTGCTGACCGCCCCCTGCGCTCAGGTGCTGCTTGGCTGAGCTCTGCGGGGGGAGATTCCGCGCAATCCGCATCAGGGCGCACGAGCAGGCGAGATTCGCGAAACGCCCTTCCGTTACCCTCCCCCTTGCAGCGGGGCTGCAATCGATTGACTGCTTGGCTTGGCATTCCGCCCAGTAGCAGTCAATCCCTCATTCACTGCACTTCGCACGGCGCGCGTCAGCCACTAATAATTTCCACGTGGCCCCCCGGGCTCTTCCTTCTTCACTTTCCTTTCAAAAGAAGCATTTTTTAGGGCGAACCGTTGTTCCATTGCGTATCTGTACGCCAGGCATTGTGCGGGCCGCCGCATTACAGCCCTGCTACCGCCGCTGCTCGCGGCACTCCGACGCTGCCGTCCGCGGCTCCGCCATGTCCCGCGCAGATCCCGTTGCGCGCCAAGCGCCGATCGCCGACGCGAGGGATGACGCGGATCCGGCGGCGGGCGGAGCGGAGTTGGGGCAGGCGGGGGGTGACAGGGGCGGGGAATGGGGGGCGGTGGGGCTGGGGCTGGTGGAGGTGCATCTCGCTGCCAACGAGAGCCCCGCTTCGCGCGAAAAGCGCATTCGCGCGCTTTTTCATACGTTCGACACCGAGAATAGAGGTGGGGTTGGGAGGGGGGGTGGGGGGGGGGGGGGGACGTGAATAGCGATGCGGCGAAATGGGAATAGCCGCACAGCGAAATGCGCGCAGATTAGTGGTAGGGCGAAGTTTCACGATTTCTAAAGTAGGGTAAAACGGGGAGTGCAAATGGTGTCAGCATGCCAGCTTATCGCAACGCGCCGTGACACGGCGGCCTGTGAACTCGGTAGCACAGCGCGCCGATCTCTGCGCCCCTTGAAACTTGCTCCGCCTCTTGCTGCCTCTCTTCCCCCCCCGTTCCCCCCCCCCCCCCCGGTGGGGCGCAGGCGCGCTGACGCGGAGGCAGATAGAGAGGGGGTTGGCGCGCATGGGCGTGCCGGTGGACTATAAGTTCTCCAAAGACCTCCTCGCCGCCATCGACCAGGTGCGCGCTCGCCGCCATCGACCAGGTGCGCGCTCGCCGCCATCCACCAGGTGCGCGCTCGCCGCCATCGACCAGGTGCGCGCTCGCCGCCATCGACCAGGTGCGCGCTCGCCGCCATCCACCAGGTGCGCGCTTGCCGCCATCCACCAGGTGCTGGTAACATTCGTTGCGCACTCCCACACACCAGCGGTGATTGGCGTGTTCGGCTCCTCACTGTTCCATTCACTGCGCACCGGCCTCCTCCCCTCTTCCTCCCCTCTCTCTCCCCCGGCTGGGCACAGAACGGCGACGGCGTGTGTGACTATAACGAGTTCCACCGGTACATGGACAGCAAGGAGGTGCAGCTATACCGCCTCTTCCAGCAGCTCGACACCGACTTCGATGGCGCCATCTCCCTGCATGAACTCAGCACCGCGCTGCTCCACGCCGGTCAGTGCGCACCCCGCCCCTGCTGCCGCCATGCACCACGCCGGTAAGCACCCACCGCTGCTGCCGCCATCTTTCTCTCTCTCCAACAATGCTTCCCTGCCCGTTCACCCTAGCCGCTGTCTTTCCAAGCACGAATGAAGGCCGCAATGCCGTGTTCTCCAATGCGCCATGCCTCGCTCCCGTCACACCACCCCATGCCTCATGCCCCATGCCCCATGCCATTTCCCCCCCACCCCATGCACGGCAGGCATGCACCTCGCGGCGGGCGAGCTAAAGGCGTTCATGGAGCGCATGGACCGCAACCACGATGCCCCATACGTGTCTCTTGCCCTCTCCTCATGCCCTTGCCTCTCCCCTTCCTCCTGTCACACGGCAGGCATACACCTGGCGGCTGGCGAGTTACAGGCGTTCATGGAGCGCATGGACCGCAACCACGATGGCGTGCTGTCGTTCAACGAGTGGCGCGACTTCCTGCTGCTCTTCCCCCACCGCGCCACCTCCATCGCCACCGCCTACCAGGTGCGTGTCCCTGTCTCTCTCTCTCTCTCTCTCTCTCTCTCTCTCTCTCTCTCTCTCTCTCTCTCTCTCTCTCTCTCTCTCTCTCTCTCTCTCTCTCTCTCTCTCTCTCTCTCTCTCTCTCTCTCTCTCTCTCTCTGCGCCTGCTGCTACCATCACCCTGCCGCCACCCCGCCTTTTCCCATGCTGTCACCAACCTCTCACCTCGTGGCCTGCATCTCTCTCCCTGCCGCTTTTGCCGATGCCCTCCTCCTCTACTCTCCACTTTTCTGCGCCCCTCGCCCTTCACGTTTCCCCCCCCCCCCCCCCCCCTCCCCACTCCTCCCCCCCCCCCCTTTTCCTGTCGCAGTACTGGGAGCGAGTGCAGCAGGTGGACATAGGCGAGCAGCCCGTCATCCCATCGGGCCTCTCCGCATCGCTCTCCACCGCTCCCGACGCCTCTGCCCTGGCGTGGCGCTACTTCCTGGCGGGCGGAGTGGCTGGTGCTGTATCTCGCACCGCCACAGCGCCCCTGGACCGCCTTAAGGTGCTGCTGCAGTGCGCCAAGACCAGTAGTACCCACGCGCACCCCGCTGCTGCTGCTGGCGCTGGTGCTGCCGCTGTCCGTGCTGGTGCCGTGGCTAGTGCTGGTTGTGGTGCTGGTGCCGGTGCGGTGGCAGCCGCTGCTGCTGGTGCTGGCCACGCCACCCCAAGGGCTGTTGGCGCCAGTGGTGCCGCAGGGAGGGCCATGCGCGCAGCAGCAGGGGGGGCCGCACAGACAGGTGCGTGTGGTGGAGGTGGCATCCGAGGGGGGGTGGCAGCAGCATCAGCAGCAACGGAGGGATCAGCAAGAGCAGGGGCAGGAGGAAGGCTGTCCAGTGCTGCTGTTCCTGATGCTGCCACCACTGCCGCACGCTCTTCAGCTGCCATGCCACGCCAACCATCCGTCTCACCACCACCACAACCACCACTACAATCAGCATCAGCAGCTGCATCAGCAGCTCAATCGCCCGTTCCCCCCTCCCACCACCAACCCCCATCCCCATCCCGTGCCACTCCTCCCTCCTCCTCCGCCTCCTCACCTGCTCCCCACCACCCCCGCCCACGCCACTCCCGCTGGCAGTTCTCTCTCCTCCGCGCCCCCTCCCCTTCGCCCCCCTCTCTCCCGCTTCCACCCTCTGCACGGCCGCCCAACATGTCTCCCTGGTGGCAGAGCATGCAGCCTGGCCGGCAGGGCACAGTCACCGGGCGGCAGCAGGGGGCAGGCGGGCGGCTGACGCTGTGGAGGGCGGTGCAGCAGGTGTACGGGGAGGGGGGCGTGGGGTCGTTCTTCAAGGGCAACGGCATCAACGTCGTCAAGGTGGCGCCCGAGTCAGCCATCAAGTTCTACGCCTACGAGCTCCTCAAACGCGCCATCTCCCCCCCTGCTGCTGCTGGGAGCGGGGGCACTGAGGTGAGACCAGCAGAAGCAAGTGTCCGTGCAACCAGATCACTCCACTCTCACTGGGAGGTGGCACCCGAGTCAGCTATCAAGTTCTACGCCTATGAGCTCCTCAAACGCGCCATCTCCCCCCCTGCTGAGTGCTGGTGCTGGTGAGGTGAGGCCAGCAAGAACATGAACTTCTCCAACCGTGCATTCACTCCGCCCCTCCCTGTTTCCACCTGCGTTTGACCACTCTCCTTGACTCCATTCACCAAACACACGTGCATTCACTCTCCCCCTCTCTCCCTCCTCTCTTTCATCCTTGTCCACCCCCACCCATTCCCACTTTTATGACCCGTGCAGCAGCAGTCAGGAGAAACAGCGGTGACGCGGCTGGTGGCGGGGGGCATGGCGGGCGCCGTGGCACAGACGGCCGTGTACCCCCTCGACCTCGTCAAGACGCGCCTGCAGACCTACCACCTCACATACCACCGCAACCCGCCGCCCCTCGCTGCCCTCACGGCGGAGATCCTGCAGAGGGAGGGGCCGGGCGCCATGTTCCGGGGGCTGCTGCCGTCCATCCTGGGCATGATCCCATTCGCTGGCATCGACCTGGCGGCGTATGAGACGCTGCGAGACGCCTTCACCCCGTGGATTGAACGCCGCCCAGGTGGGTGCAGGCACCCATGATCCGTGGTGTGGCACAGCAGTCCCTTTGCCTCCATCGCTCCTTCCCCTCCCTGCACTTTATCCTCATCCCCACTTGATCCACCCCTCCCCGACACTAACCCCACACGCTCATTCCTTCCTCCATCCATATGTCCCCATGCATCTCCCCTCCCCGTGTGGGTGCTGCGCCCATCAGAGGCGGCGCCAGTGCTGCAGCTGGCGTGTGGCACGGTGTCAGCCACGGTGGCCGCCACACTCGTATTCCCCCTGCAGGTCATCCGCACAAGGTGAGACCCTCGCTCAACTCATGCCCCTCCTGCCATCACACATGTTTCAAACATTGATTGCACCTTTTCACGTGGCCGTTCGTCAAACTACCATTTGCCACGCTTCCTTTTGCCAAACCAGACAACATTCCTCTTGGCCCCCTGCGTGGCAGGCTGCAAGCACACGTCAGCGCACCGCACGCACCAAGCAGCGCAGTAGGTTTTGCAGCTGGAGCAGCAGCGCCAGCAGCATCGTTGTCAGGCATGGGTGTGGCAGGCAGAGGGCCAACGATGGGGGAGGTGACGCGGGAGCTGTGGCAGGAGGGGGGCGTGCATGCCTTCTTCCGAGGCGTGGTGCCCAACCTGCTCAAGGTCGTGCCCGCTGCCAGCATCACTTATGTTACATACGAGCACATGAAGAAAGTGCTCGGTCTCAAATAGCTAATGACCCTGTAAATTATGTATACTACCGTACGGTATGTTGGGCTGCTCATGACCTGACATTCCTTCCATGCATTATTGATCTGTGGCTGGGGCAAACCGCTCAGTATAGCTCAGCCGACAAGCGAGGCCGCCCGGATGAGCTCGCTGCCCGCGGGCAAAAAAAATAAACCCCAGACGGGCATGCATCCGGTCAGGGAGCCTCAACCCTAAATCACAGGGAGGCATGGATTTAGGGTTGAGGCTCCCTCGGATGGCATGCCATCCGATGGGGGTTTAGTTTTTTTTCTGCCCGTCGGTCAGGTCGACGGTGGTCGACGCTCCGTCGACCACCGTCGGACCCCGTTTGGTTGAGACATTCCATCACAAATGTGCACAGGCAATGTGCACACCCCCTTCAATCAGGGAACTCCTTGCATGAATGGTGTAGGTTCTGGTTTGGATTGATGAGGGGATGCATGTGGTGGTTACTGCATGCTGAGGGCTGGCAGACATGGTAGTTTACAGATCTCCAATGGGCAATGTACGCCCCGCATTCCTGCTCAGCTATCGACATTGGTGTGTATGGCTCATCAGGCAGGCAGCAGATCTCCAGGCATTCACTTGGCCATGACAACAACTCTCAGGCACAGTTGAAATGGACCACAAAGCACAGTGCTGGACGTGAAAGGACACCTTATTGGTGTGATACTGCTGCGCACTTGTTGCTACGACTTCAGTGTCAGCTGGATTGTAGCTGGACTACGCAACTTTAGAGAAACTGGATATTTTGTAAATTAGACAGGGACACGGCTGACTGTGAGGGCGAGAGGGAACAGCTGAATGAAACGCCTCAACATTTGACTTTATTAACGTTGATACAAGGCATGCACACACGGTTGCGAAGCTCAGGAGCAGCAAGCCACAATCGACCTGCAGTCAGTACCAACCTGCATCGGCATTCTACCCATATGCTAACTCAATCATCTAGCCGACGGAAAAAGCTAGGGCTAGCGGCGGCATGGAGCAGGCCTACTGGGACACGAGGTCGGGGTAGTAGAAGTAGACGATGCGCCCGTTGATGGGCTGCGGCGCGCGGTTGTCCGTGCGCTCGCCGTTATTGGTGACCGCCATCATGTTCATGAACTGAATGGTCTGTGCGACGGAGAGCGACTGTGACTTGCGAAGCACGTGCCACTGCACGATCTCGTCACACTCGGGCGTGGTGAGCGACCCGGGATACGTCCAGAAGCCCATGGCCGGCGCCACCATCGCCGTCCAGAAGTCCGCGCTCACGGGCACCGTCACGTTCGCGCCGCTCGCCGCGGGCGCGCGGTTCAGCCACCTGCGGAGGCGCGGAGGGACCGACTAGAAAAACGTGAAACGAGGCGTGATTTGGGTTGTTCTCCTCGTCCGTTTCTCAAGCGCGAAGTAGGACGTTTTGTTCATTACCAGTGGGAATGTCGAGACAAGTTGGTTTGACAGAGCGGGCGCGGGAGGGGGGAACTCACTGGTTGATCCAGGTGGAGTTGGCGTCGTCGCGGTGGAGGCGCAGCATGACGCCCACCACGGCGAGCCTCTTGGGATCATCGACGTGCACGTGAACGAAGTGCGCCTCCATGGGCGCGAAGAGCCCGTTGATTGAGTGCTCCGACATGGCGTGCACGTGCATCTGCAGCAGCGCGTACGTGCCCGACGACAGGTGCAGCAGGTGCGACTCCGTCGCCGCCGGCACCACCTCTGCGCGGACCAGAACACGATGAGGAAATCGTTTTGGCGTGAGGAAATGCCGCGCACTTGCCACAGGAACAGAAATAAACAGAGATTATCGAGCAAACAAAAAACGATTTGAACGGAAAGCAGAACAACGAGGTGGCGAGGGGCACGCACGGATGGTGGAGCCCTTGTTGATGACGGTGGCGGTGGCGGCCTTGGAGTAGTTGATGTGGAACAGCTCCTTGGACGCGCCCAGCACCGCCTCGTCCATCACTATGTTTATCGGCGACTGCCGCTCGCCCGACGCGCACGCGCCCTGCGCATTGTCAGAAATTACAAACGCGAGGTTGAATATTGCTATAAATTTCCGCGTTTGCTCACTTTTGTTGGTCAGGAACTTGGAAAATGCTGCGGACTGCATGTGAGGCGCGGAATGATGGGTGTGTAAAATTACCGTCCAGTCAGTGCCGCTCTTGTCGTAAGAGAAGGGCACGGAGGCGCCATTTGCAAGGGCGACGACGCCGAGGACGAGGGCGACGAGGATCAGAGTGCGAGCCATAGCGGCGAGAGGGATCGTCGCGAAAAACGTGCAGGTTGACGAGGGCCTCTTGAGGTTGATTGGTACGCAAAATCAAGCTGAATTGTGAACTCAGGGAATGCCAGAGAAATTATACGCGCGAGCCGAGGGTGGCGAGGATTTGCAATCGAAACAAGTGCATGCGGTGGATGGATTTCCAGATTCGCGATTCGTGCTTTGGTGCATCCTCCCCTCCCCAAGTAAGGCGCGACCCGAGCGAGGTTGCATCTGGGAAGGGATTCCGGCTCGGATAGAAAGGCCCGATGTTGGGCCAGGGGGGTAGTGTGGGGGATGGCTAAGGAAGGACGTGAGTGGCTGGGAGAAAGTGCTGATGTCAGCACTCTTGCGGTTGAACCTGGTGTAGCTTACAATCTGCGGTGGAGGATGATTTGGCGAGTCCTCGTCGAGGACATGAACGCACCTGCTTTGAATGGAAAGAAGGGAGAGGGAGCAGCTCTGTCTCCGGGTTTATGGAAATGGTGTTTCATTGGGGTGCTTGTATCAAATCGATGAATATAAAAAACAAGGACTAAACAATCAAGCTATTGCGATATGTGTATATGACCTTCAAGGTAACAATACAGCCCTTCAGTTTGCCTTGTTCATGAAAGAAATGACATGCAATGGAAAAATTCTAGAATTGATTGGCATCTGAGATACTGTAATGTCTCAACATGAGAAGTAAGGGAACACGCGAAATAGGTGAAACACCCTATTGCAAAGCCAGCAAGTGCGTGGAAGGTTGCGAGCATCATTGGTCATCGACCCTTGAGAATGAAGAGCGCCCGCTGCACTTCCTCCACATGTGCGGATCCTAGCGCGTTTTGAGGCTAGAGGCGCTCGCTTGTTCCGAACGTTTTTCTTCCACTGGCTCACGTGGCTGCGCTTGTCTGGGCATATTGCCAAGCCAGCAAGGGCGTGGAAGAGTTGCGAGCATCATTGGTCATCGGCCCTTGAGAATGAAGAGCGCCCGCTGCACTTCCTGCGCATGTGCGGATCCTTCCGCGTTTTGAGGCTATAAGCGCTCATTTCGAACATTTTTCTTCTACCGGGTCACGTGCCTGCGCTTGTCTAGGCCTCTTGCCAAGCCAGCAAGGGCGTGGAAGGGTTGCGAGCATCATTGGTCATCGGCCCTTGAGAATGAAGAGCGTCCGCTGCACTTCCTCCACATGTGCGGATCCTAGCGTGTTTTGAGGCTAGAAGCGCTCGCAATGAGCGTTTTTCTTCTATTATGTCACGTGACTGCACTTGTCTAGGCCTCTTGCCAAGCCAGCAAGGGCGTGGAAGGGTTGCAAGCATCATTGGTCATCGGCCCTTGAGAATGAACAGCGTTCGCTGCACTTCCTCCACATGTGCGGATCCTAGCGCGTTTGAGGCTAGAAGCGCTCGTTCTGAGCGTTTTTCTTCTACCAGGTCACGTGGCTGCGCTTGTCTAGGCCTCTTGCCAAGCCAGCAAGGGCGTGGAAGGGTTGCGAGCATTATTGGTCATCGGCCCTTGAGAATGAAGAGCGCCCGATGCACTTCCTGCACATGTGCAGATCCTAGCGCGTTTTGAGGCTAGAAGCGCTCGTTCTGGGCGTTTTTCTTCTACCAGGTCACGTGGCTGCGCTTGTCTAGGCCTCTTGCCAAGCCAGTAAGGGCGTGGAAGGGTTGCGATCATCATTGGTCATTGGCCCTTGAGAATGAAGAGCGCCCGCTGCACTTCCTCCACATGTACGGATCCTAGCGCGTTTTGAGGCTAGAAGCACTCGCAGTGAGCGTTTTTCTTCCAATTGGTCACGCGGCTGCGCTTTTCTAGGCCTCTTGCCAAGCCAGCAAGGGCGTGGAAGGGTTGCGAGCATCATTGGTCATCGGCCCTTGAGAATGAAGAGCGCCCGCTGCACTTCCTGCACATGCGCGGATTCTAACACGTTTTGAGGCTAGAAGCGCTCGCAGTGAGCGTTTTTCTTCTACCAGGTCACGTGGCTGCGCTTGTATAGGCCTCTTGCCAAGCCAGCAAGGGCGTGGAAGGGTTGCGAGCATCATTGGTCAGCGGCCCTTGAGAATGAAGAGCGCCCGCTGCACTTCCTCCACATCTGCGGATTCTAACACGTTTTGAGGCTAGAAGCGCTCGCAGTGAGCGTTTTTCTTCTACCAAGTCACGTGGCTGCGCTTGTCTAGGCCTCTTGCCAAGCCAGCAAGGGCGTGGAAGGGTTGCGAGCATCATTGGTCATCGGCCCTTGAGAATGAAGAGCGCCCGCTGCACTTCCTCCACATCTGCGGATCCTAGCGCGTTTTGAGGCTAGAAGCGCTCGCAGTGTGCGTTTTTCTTCTACCAAGTTACGTGGCTGCGCTTGTCTAGGCCTCTTGCCAAGCCAGCAAGGGCGTGGAAGGGTTGCGAGTATGGCCCTTGAGAATGAAGAGCGCCCGTTGCACTTCCTCCACATGTGCGGATCCTAGCGCGTTTTGAGGCTAGAAGCGCTCGTTCTGGGCGTTTTTCTTCTACCAGGTCACGTGGCTGCGCTTGTCTAGGCCTCTTGCCAAGCCAGCAAGGGCGTGAAAGGGTTGCGAGCATCATTGGTCATCGGCCCTTGAGAATGAAGAGTGCCCGCTGCACTTCCTACTGATGTGCGGATCCTAGCGCGTTTTGAGGCTAGAAGCGCTCTATTTGAGCGTTTTCTTCTACCAGGTCACGTGGCTGCACTTTTCTAGGCCTCTTGCCAAGCCAGCAAGGGCCTGGAAGGGTTGC